GTCTTCTGTATGTAAGCAATGACTTCCGTTGTCAAAGTTACACTTAATTATATTGTCTGATTTTAATCTTTGAAATCTTTTTTCTATATTAATTTGTAAGTCTAGGTATTCTATGCTTTTTAATGAAGCTATTGTTACTATTGTTATTTTACCCTAAAGTAGTTGGGTAATTATATTTATAAAAAAAAATATTATTCTTTTATTATAGCTATCTATAACATTACTAATTCCTTGTAATTCCCATTTTAAAGCGTTAATATATTCGTCGTAGTTTATATCTCTTTCAAAATAAAAAGCTTGTGGTATAAAAAAATGTTTTCGTATATATATATATATATATATATATGCTTTTTCTGCTATTTGTAATCTTTTCTTTTTTCTATATTTCTATGTAATAGCCAATAATCAAGTCTTATTCTTAAAGCAAATGGAAGATTTCTCATGAAATATTTTTTATTGAAAAATTTCTTGATATAAGATGTCTTATTAATTTTTGTTCTAATATTTTAGCTAAGAAAAATATATAATCTAATTTATTACTTATTTCTTTGTTAGAGCCTGTTTTTCTTAGGTTTTTTAATAAATATATGTGCTTTTATATATTAATCTAGTAATTCTCTTGTAACCTTCTTATATTCACTTGTATTTTTATAAGGTCTTCTCATATATTATACTACAGAATTATAATAATATGGATTATTTTTAATAATTTTAATTCTTTCTCTTACTTTCTTTATTTCAAAGTCTACTTGATTTAATTCTTTACTTATTTGTTTTTTAGATTGTCTAATAGTTTCCCTAAGTGTCTTTACAGAATATTTATATGTATAAGTTAATGATAATCTTAATTTTAAGGTAAATAAATGACTTTCTAAAGATTTTTTTATATATTTTAACTATTTTTAAATGTTGTCTATTGTAAAATAAAGTTCTACGGTAAGCAAATGTTTTTCTAGAATAATAATCTTTTTTCATATAAGGTCTTTCAGATCTCTCGCTCTGATACCAAAATAAGTGGGGGTTATTTCAATATGGGGGTTATAGTTCAATAAGATATTTCCAAAATAAAATAGTATAAGTTCGTTAAAATTTCAAATTGTACAATCCTACTCAGTACTCCTTTACTCTCTTGTTCTATTATGTAATTATCATATTAGTTTCTAGTTAGACAGATGGGAGTTTTGATGGATGTAGTGCAGTATTAAAATCAAGACCACATAAATACAGTTCTAAACAAGAAGAATACATATTTGCTTATATAT